ATCAGTTGTGTGGTTTGAAAGTTAACATAAACTAGGGCTGGGGCCGAGCCCGTGGCGCACTCAGGAGAGTGTGGCGCTGGGAGCGCACTGCGGGTTCGGATCCTATATAGGGATGGCCGGTGCTCACTGGCTAAGCGCATGTGGCCGGTCTCAAAAAAGGACAAAAAAAAAAAAAAAAAAAAAGTAGAGCTGGTACAAACTAGGAGAGACTAGTGGAGGAGTGATTTTCTGCATGACCCAGAACAAGTCACTCACCTCCCTTGGCCTCAGCCTCCTTGTTTGTAAATGGTTAAATTTTATGTCTTTAGTTTTTCCAGCTCCAAAATTCAGTAACTCTTTGAGAATCTCTGGAAAACATGATCACAAAAAGTTAGGGGGTTTTTGTTTGTTTGGCTTATTGTAAGGAATCAGATCCATTTTACAGAAACTCTTAGAAGAATTACTTTAGACAAACTATTTTGAATAGTTTATCAGGTAGATGCCACAACTATTCATTCAGCAGATACTGTCCTTCCTTGTTCTCTAATGAGCTAACTTTAATAGAAGGTTGAGGGACCCATTAAATATACACACAATACCCACACTACTTTTGTAAAATAAGTTCTTTATTTCAATTTTATTTTTACTAAGAGGCCAAGAGACTAGGAAGTGGGGAGGCAGGAATAATGCTTGGTGACCCCAGAAGTGGGGAAGAGGCTATAGCCAACAAGAATGGGTCAGACTGCTCTCCTCTGCCTTTTGAGGTAACAGCAATGAACAAAAAGAAGTCCAAGCCTGGGCTTCAGGCTTAAGTCAATGAGGTCAGTCTGTTTAGGCCATGTGGAGGGAAAGGGAGAGTCAGACCATCTGTCCAATCCATGTCCATGAGGAAGAGAAAGGCCAAGGTCAGTCTATTAAGGCCTTGACTCTGGGAGGGTTGGGGGCCGTCTCTTCGAAGGCCTGCCCCGCCGTCCCCAGGGTACATATGGGCCATGGGGACGAGACCGGGGAAAACCCCTATGGACCACAGGGGCCCGCTGTTGATACCAGGATGTGGATAAACAGGGCACAGGCCGCTGGGGACCAAACATAAAGTCAGCTTCGGAGGAAAGTCCTGAGGGGATGTCCGAATGGAAAAAGAATTGATCTGACTGGTAAATATGGTCCGAGGAAAAACAGGCATCTTGAGAACAGAGCGGGAACTGGGGCATCACCTGGTGAAGGGGAATAGGATGAGGCGGCGGGGGCGGGAACAGGGGGCCACACCTGGGAGGAGGCACAGGTGGGGACGGCGGGAGGGCCAGTGGGGGCGGGGGCAGGCGTGGGAACGGGAGCAGGGGGCCACGCCTGGGAGGAGGCATGGGTGGGGACAGCGGGGAGGCCAGTTGATCTCTGTCGCCCCAGGGCTGCCTCTCAACTTCCTGGCCAGGTGGTTCCGCAGCAGGGCCATTCTGGATCCACTTGCTCACAGTGAGGCGATGGGGCAGCTCCACGCCCCAGGCATCGGCCACGTGGGCCAGCAGCAGCTGGGAGATGTGGCGGTGCGCGTATCCATTCCAGTGCACGCCGTCCGTGTGCCGGTGGCACGTCGCGTGGCGTAAGTGGAAATGCAAGTCCAGCACATCGAAGTGGTGTTTCTTCGCCTCCGCAGAGCTGTAGAAGTTGGCTTCCACCACGGCGAATTTCAGGAAGGGGACCCAGGGCTGGCGTTTGCACGGCAGGAAACTTGCGGTGATTTTGTCGCCTACAGGCGTGGCCGTGTTCCACACCAGGAGGCAAGATTCAGGCAGCACCTGGCCCAGGCGCCCAAACAGGCTCTCCAGGTTCTTCCGGTAGCTACTCCAGGAGTCCCGACCGTACCTGGAGAGGTCCCAGAGGCAGGAGTTCATGATGACCAGGTCGGGGGCGTCCTCGCCCGACTGCAGCTGCTGCAAGATGCTCTCGAGGTACTCGGAGTACACGCGCGTTAGGAAGTAGAAGCGCACCAGATGGTGGCCCGAGCGGAACTGGCGGACCTCACGGTAGCTGGTGCCATTGTGCAAGGGGCTTCCCTCCATCAGCTCATCCTGTTCGAAGCTCACCTCCCCCTTGGCTTTGAGCTGGCGAGGAGTGAGCAGGCAGTCCTTCTGCAGCAGGAGAACCAGGTCCTTGTACACGGCCCTCTGCACGGAGTCCCCCAGGATGACCACGAACTTGTTGTGGAGCAGCTGGCGGACTTCGGAGGCCAGCAGGTGGACCATGACGTCCAGGGCGCGTGGCCTCGCTCTCTCCTTTGCACAAGGTGGGCCTGCGGATTGCTAGGACAGAAGGAGAGAGCGGCTGGGAGGGACTCACTCCTGGGCGGGGCGCACTGTGCAGGGAGGGCACGGAGAAGGGGATGGAGCAGTGGCCTCTGCCGCGAGGGAGCGGGCCTGGGGCACCCGCAAGGCAGGCTCGACCAAACCTGGGCCAGGGCGAGGGGAGAGAGCTGGGAGCCAGACGTCCTCTTTGGCCTGGCTGCAGTTTAGGGCCGGGCCATGACCTCTGAACTGCCTGAGGCTACTCTTGGAGGCTGCTCTGGCTCCACCTGGAGGTGAGGGGCTGACTGCTCTCCTCCCTTCCCCCCCCCCCCCCCCCCCCCCCCC